CAATAATAATAATATAAATAAATAAATAAATACACACAGGAATAAATGTTTACACAACAAGATGAAACCAGAAACGTGAATAAACGTGTTTGTGTGTCGGACCTTCTGACAGCCACGGATCTGGAGGCGCAGTGGGTGCTGATGACGGGGAGGAGGCGCGGCGAGTGCGTGTGCTGCAGAGAGAACACATGTACATACATGTACACACACACACACACACACACACACATCTATATGCACACACACACACAAGGAGCCGCCACGTACTCGCAGGATGAGGCGGATGGCCGACGCCCCCGAGGAGGACATCACTTTGGCGCTGTTGGGGAGCAGGTTGAGGAGGGTCGGCATCAGGGCCTCGGCGCCGTGGTCGAAGCGGCTGCCGAGCACCGCCGACAGGTGGCTGGCGACGGGAGAGGTGACACCGTGAGCCACAGAGAGAGAGGGAGACGGTCAATGGGGGGGGACACTCACCCCAGGGTGAGGCAGGCCTCCCTCACCACCTGAGAGCGGAGGTCCTTGACCGACAGCTTGAGCGCCGCCTCCGTGAGACGCAGCTGCTGCAGGAAGCCGTCGAACTCAGCGGCGCCGGCGAGGAGCAGCGAACGCACCTTCTTCAGCTGGAGGGAGGGGGGACAGAGACGGAGGACGGACGGTGTCAAACAACGAGACCCTACTAAGAAGAGGAGGAGGAGGAGGACGAGGAGTCTTACAGCCGCCACCCTGAGCTCCCAGTCCCGCTTATCGTCAGACAGCACGTCTCGGACCTTCGCCATGGCGTCCTCCACCTCCCTATTGGAGTAGATCTGCAGGAGAAGGAGAGGACGGATGAGACCCTGCATGGACACACCTCGGAGGACGTGCTGAAGACGCGCAGACCTGCAGAGTGGGGACGTCCTCAAACCCCAGGATGAAGTCCTCCTCGTCCACGGCTCCGGCCCCGTCCCTCCCTAAAAGACGGAGACGCCACAGTCGTCTTTATTCATCGGTGTCAACGGTAGGAGACGCAGGAAGGTCATAATAAGTCTACACGAGGACATGAATGGAAATATATCCGCAAAACAAATGCAAATGAAGCTCTTTGATTGGTGCCCTCTGACCTGCTGACTTGGCGGCGGAGGAGGAGGCGGAGCCTCTGAACGACGCCATGCTGTGCGCCTTCTTCCCGGCCAGCGAGGCGGCTCTGGAGGACGAGGAGGAGCGGACGCCGTCTATGGAGTCCTCGTCCTCCAGGTTCCTGTCTGCGGGAGGGGGAGGAGCTTAGTCACATGACCACCAACCATCGACATGATGCAAACAAACCGTATCCATGAACCAGTTATTGATCAGGAGGACGATGGATTAATGAAAACATGAATAAAATCAGATCGCGATGCAACGCCGACCAGTGAGACCGACCCACTGGATTAACATGCACCTCCTCCTCCATCTACTCCTCCACCTCCTCATCTAAACTGAGGCAGCGCTTACAGGAGCAGATCCTCCTGCAGACCAGTTTCCTCAGCATGCAGACAGACAGGTGGTCAGACAGACAGGTGGTGTTCCTCCGAGCCCCCCCCCTGCCCCAACCTCCCCCGGTCGGCAGCATGTGTCTTCTATGAGGTCTTCCTCTTCTCCTTTCCGTCCTCGTCCTCCGGCTCACTTGGAGGATGAAGGAGAGGAGGAGGACCAATGGGAGGAGGAGGGGGAGGGGTCAGACTCAGGAGGAGGAGGAAGCTCCTCCTTTGTTGAATAATTGAACACTGAATAATTAATGTTCTTTTCTCTCATTTAGATGGAAAACAACGACATCATTAATCAGAAACGAATCAACAAATTGTTTTATTTTATTATTATTAACTGAATCTTTAGTTTGGGACAAGAAATCACACAGTAGAGCAAAAGTATGAATGATTTGTTAAATATAACCCTTTTGAAAGGCATTTTTCTATTAAGAGTGTAGCAAGTGAATTTAATATCTAAAAATGTAAAATGTGTTACTTCTAAAACAGAAGAGAGAAATATCCTGACAGACCAGTCCTACATTTCCCATAATGCACCCGGAGAGCCTGTTTCACAGGCAACCTCACGATGAAGATGAACTGATCCACCGGGTCACACGACCTCCTCCACCTGGCAGCACCTGTCTTCAGGAGCTCCGCCCATGGAGGCGCACAGCTGATCTCCACAAAGTAAATTCCCCAAATGAGGGGGAGGAGCGCCAAGACGCGTTCAGGCGACCCAGAGCGCAGGAACTTCTGGTTCTCTCTCAAAGTTTACGAGACAGAAGCTTCAGAAACGAGTTCAATAAACGAGTAAATAAACGCTGGACGACGAGAAGCTTCTGAGACGACTTCAGTGCATTATGAGATTATCGCTTTATGTAATGATAAGACAAATACAATAGGTTAATATCCTGGTTCAAAAGTTCCATAAATACATTCATGTACAGTTTTATATACACACACACGATCTATCCGTCCCTGCACAGCGCTCCTTATTCAGGAGCCCCAGGTCCTGGTCTACCAGAGTCCACTGATCCGGACTCAGTGACTCCACATGGAAGGATGAACCGGACCTCCAGGTTCACTCGTCAGCCTTCCACCGGCTTATAGGCCTGAATTAAATAGGAATTAACAAGCTACGGGATTCAAACGTTTCTCGATCTTATGTGACAGAAATATAAACAAGCCAGAAAGTGTTTGATATTGAAGAGAAAAACTTTTTAAAATGAGACAAAAATAAAACAGTGTTGGCAAAATAAAGTGTCGGTTCCTTCAGGCTTTTAGTGAGTCCTTGTTAGAGGGACTGAGGCTTAAGAATAGTGGTTTGATTCATCTTTCTGCTGCAGGACAGGCTTGTTTACTCCTATCTGGGTTATTAGAACTCATATATAACAAACACATATATATATATCTATAAATATATACACCCGATGCTGTGTGAGTGTATAGACACACACACACACACACAGGTCTACAGGGGTTGGTATCACACCAATAAAGCAGTTAAATTACCAGTAACTAAGGCAGGACACCAGTACATTAAGTCTAAGAGCACAACCTCACCTCGGGGCTTCCTCCACCCCTGAGCACCACTTCCTGTGTGGAGGTTTCCCCCCTCTGAGTTATGGTGGAGGACCACTTCCTGTCCCAGGCGAGGACTCTGGGGGACTCTTTGTGTTGTGGAGGTCCTGCAGGAGGAGCTGGTGTACTGCCCCCCCCCACTACCTGGTCTTGTGACTGTAGCCGACCACGCTTACAAAATAAGAGCCCTGAGCTGCATGTAGTTCGACGATCCTCTGATCCCTATAACTTCCTGCAGCCCTTTCACACTAAAAGCTCTCAACATGTGAACCACTTCTTTAAGTTGTTTCCTTCGTTGAAACATGACCTCCAAAATAAAGGAGGAGACATCCGACAGCAACCCGGTTCAGAGATTCTCTGCAGGAGCACAAAGAGAGCGGCTCAGGTAAACCCCCATCCCTCCCTCCTCCTCCTCTCCTCGTCCCCCCTCCTACTATCCTCCCCCCTTCTCCTCCGCCACCTCCTCTCCTCGTCCTCCCCCTCACAGAGACCAGGACATCCGAGCTGAAACGACCAAACAGGGCCGAGAGGAGTCGCTGGAAAAGTTGTTGTTATTATTGTGGTTGTCATGTGATCTTTGGTGGCACTGATACACCCTCATAGAAGCACTCGTGTTCTGCCTGTGGGACAAACAACAAAACCATGCTGCCATGGCGACCGGGAGACGGGACCCCACCTGACAGCGGCGACAGGACCATGTTTCCCGACCTCTGGACCTCATCGAACCTGCTGAAGATCTGGTTCAGCCTGGATGGATGGGGGAGGGGGGCGGAAGTAAACCGGAGGTTTACGGTATATATTTTGTTGCATTAATCTCGGCCACATTAATCGCATAGATTAATGCGTTAATGTGGACAGCTCTAATATATATATATATATATATATATATATATATATATATATACGCACCTTGACTGAGGAAGACCTTTCTTTCCTAAATCCATTCTCACTCGCTCTCCCACGTGGCGGTAAATCTCCACGAGGCAGCTCATGGCTCCGTCACGCACCTAAACACAACAACACCCACAAGAAAGGACACGGAGCGTGTGATAGAAAGGTAGGAAGCGTGATTTGCTGGGGCGGTCCGGCTGAGTCCTACCTGACTCGTGGGATCTCCCAGGAGGTTACAGATGTGAGGAACGATTTTACTGAGCGTCAGACTCTGAGATCCAAACCTGAGGAAACACAACATGAGACATCAGTGCCACTCGTATCCGGCGTGTGTGTTGAGCGGTCGTCGTAGTGGTGTGTCGGTGTGACTCACACGTTGAGGGTGGACACGAGGCACAAGCAGAGACCCTCTCGGCTCCGGCTGTTCTTGTGTTTGAAGCCTCCCGTCATTCGCTCCCACACAAACTGGAAACACAGTAAAGCAGCTTCTCCTGTCAGCGTTTGACCCCCCAGCAGAGAGAGAGACGGGTGGGGGGGGCTTCACCTGAGGGTTAGCGGCCTGGTCCATGATCTTCAGCAGCAGCGCCTGGTCCTGCTCTCGGACCTGGTCCTTGGAGTCGCCCAAGCGGTCGATGAGGCTCGGCAGAACTGAGGTCATATTTATTATTAGAACTAAATGACACACATTCATGTATTTGGCCTTTAATGCTGTTCTAACAGACATTTGTCTTTATTTTAAAAAAGGAAAATAATAATAATAATAATAATAATATCCTGCGTTAAAAAATGAGAACTAAGAGATCAATCATCAGATAATCGGTGTTTTCTCTGAACATGTTATCTTCTTACCGGTGCCCACCTGCGTCCTGAATCTCTCCTGCAGCCTGCTGACCAGAGCCGACAGGATGTCCATCCCCAACAGCACCACCTGCCGCGCACACACGCACATACACGCACACCCGGAAGAGGTTGACGCACAGCGATGGGAAAGGCGGACCGCAAAGCATTGTGGGTGGTCCGCCAGAACGAGTTCGCACTAAAAGTAAAACCAACACAGTTGAAATAAATGCGTTTCGTGCGGTCGGAGCCGGCGTGAGGAGGCGTCCCTTCATGTACGGAAGCGGCGGAGCGAAGGAGGAAATCTCCACCGCGAGCGAGGACGCTGCGTCCTCGTTACACTCTTCCCGCTCCGCCGCCGGACGCCATCTTTCCTTGTCATGGGGTGGCTTGGGGGACTCAATGAACGCGTAGTGAGAGCCTCCCTGCTAACACCAGACCAACACATGCGCGTCACCCGGGCGTCACGCCCGGGCTATGACGCAATTTTTGGAACCTCTCAATCAGCAGAGAGAAAGGTGAACGTGTCCAACGACAATAGAAGCGCGAGATTTCACGTACCACGTGACCCATCAAAATAGACTTACTCGTGTGTAGTTCGCGCCTGTGATCTGCCGCGGCGCCCTCTGGCGGACACACTGAGGTGCTACGCGGTCAAAGCAGCCTGGAAAGACTAATGTGAGGGTTCGATTTAGACCCGAGAGGAAAACACGCACATCCCGACTACTTAATAGTGTCAAATATCAAAAAAAGCTCGTGGTTGTGTGTTTCGTCCCTGATGTAAATGTTGGAGCAGTAAGGAAGGAAACTGGGCTGATGGTGCTGGTAAATTAATCCCAGGAGCCTCGTCCCCATTATGGCACCACTGGGACCACTTGTGTCAGTGTGTGTGTGTGTGTGTGTGTGTGAGTGAGTGAAGTCAGTGTGTAGCTTCAATGAGCTCCACACAAAACGCCAAAATCTGGCATTTTAGTGCTGAGGAAGATCACGTGTGTTGAACAGCTCCAGAGGAGGCCCTCAGTAGACCCCCCCAGTGTGCACGGTGAAACAGTACACGGGGTTCTCCATGTGGCAGTATTTATAACAATTATATATATTAACGTCTGATGAGGCTACCTGGCACATTTCAGAGTACCACCACTACTACTACTACTACTACACGCGTAGTACTAGTGTGGGAACACTGCATTAAACTGCAGCATTGATTCATCAGCAAATCATGCGCCATGGCAACAGGAGGTGCAGCCTCACGTGAACCCACACGGACACATGGGTGAGTAAATGAAGCGCTCCCCGAGGAGAGTTTGTTCTCCACACCTGCAGGAATCTGCAGAGGAGGAGGAGCTTTCTGGACCCAAACAATAACAAACGCATTGTGGATTCTCACAGTAAACATTCAAAGACTTTAGTCAGAACCTTTTGCTTTAACTCTTCTTCTCACGTGATTAAAGTCTTCTTCCCCTCATGTCTGTGAATTAATCTGCATCCCAACACAACACGTTAAAACCTAAATACATCTTTATACATGTATGTTTGCCCTGGTTTGAGGGTCTGGATCAGGTTCTCCTTGTCTGACATCAGAAGCAAGCAGCTGATCCACAGAGGTTATTGTGCTCCTCCATCCGAGGTTCTTCCTCACCTTGAAGTTGCTGCAGTTGACCCAGGAGCTGGCCACCGCGTCCACCATCCGGTCCAGCAGGCTCTGGTCCTGCTCCATGTGGGGGGACCTCACCTGGTCCAGGATAAGCTCAGTGATCTCCTGGCCCACCTGGAGCCTCCTCCCCAGGTCCTTCTGCAGCAGCTGCTCCAGCAGATGCTCCATGCTCACCTCCACCTGCTCCTCCATCAGAGTCTCCGTGTCCTCCACCGTCACAGGTGGGTGTGCTGCATTCCCCTGCAGCACCAAAACGTTTAGCGGTTAGCTTCCGCGGCTAGCAGCTAGCTTGTTCTTAACAAGCGTTTCAATCCGCAGTCGAGCGGAGCTGCTGTTAGCTAAACTAAGCTGGGCCGAGTCAGCACCGGGTCTCTGCCGGTACCCATCCGTTGATCACGGGTTGATTCATCATTTATTGATCCGGTGACCGGTTAGAGGTTCGCTGACCGGATGGGCTGAGTCGTTCCCCGGGAAAAAAAGAAAAAGAAAAGTCCAAAGTAGCGATTCCGCCTCGGGTTTTAAACTCCCGTCACTACCGTTTGAAGTGGTATCTTCCCTCCGCTGGGTGCGGGACGCCCGCCCGGGTGAGACGAAGCCTCAGGCGGCTCCGCGCAAGTCATTCATTGGGATTAAAACACGACTTCCATAGTTATTTGAAAAAGTCGGTCCCAGCGTGTCCCGTGTCGGACGCCGTAGAGCGCGCAGAACGATGACGCCTGCCGGCAGAGACGCGCAACTACACCCCGATCACTGAACGATTCTGCCTCTTTTTATGTGACTAACTATGGAAACAATCAACATAATTAATAATAAATAAATACATAATTTAATTTTCAGACGAATAGCTGTAATGGGTTCTGGTATCTCAACATATCTGTATTATTATTTATGAACAGAATGCGTCTTCCTTATATCTTAACATTAAAAAAACATATTTCTTTCTGTCTTGCTGTGCACAATACTACAGTGTTTTAGGTTTACCTGTTTTGTTGTATTTCTTTTTACATATTTCTTTATTCAATTTATTATTATGTTGTTTATTACTACAAGGCCCCGTTGAAAGGATGGGGGGCACGTGGGCGGGCTCTCTGTCAGCTGCAGGTGACCCCTCAGGACTCAAGGAGGAAGTTGTGACATTTGAAAACTGATTTAAAACTAAAACTAACCTGTCTCACAACGGTCTAATCCCAGCCCACGTTCCCTATTAGTGGGTGAACAATCAAACGCTTGTTTTCTCTAGAAATATTTAAAGAAAACAAAGACAAATAAAAATACTTGTTACTGTACTTTATAAAGAGAAACGTTAGCACTTCCTGTTCACATTTTGTCTTCACGCGTGTTTCTTACACTTTATTTAACTTCATGTAACTGATCGTCTTTCTAATTGTTTACACAGAAAAAGCATTGATATTAAAAACACAACAAAGAAACAATTTATTATGGTTTATTTTTTATCACTTCATTGACAAATTAAAAAAGCTAAATAAAAGTGCAAATAACCGAGTGACCTCTGATAAATATTTAGTGTAACAAATAAAACGTAAGGAAACAACAACACGACGACTCTAAACAGCAGCTTTAAAGTGGGACTTCCCTCATGTGTGATGACGCGTTAGCAGCTGGGAGCTCCGACCAACAACAACAACAAGGAAATAAAACCAACGGCTCGTGTGCAACCTTCAATCTCTACGTGCTGCAAATGATCTTCAGGCGTGTTCAGTTCACTTACAGATGTTCCTCCAGCCAAACATCAAGCCACAGCTGGACGACCCTCCCCTGCGTAAAGGAGCAGCAGGGGGGCTCTGTGAGGAGTGATTAACAGGGCGGGGGGGGGGGGGGGGGGGCCTTTTGACACCTTTTCATTGACACAAAACTCCAAAGAGACGAATGTGAACTGACAGCTTAAAGTGTCAGTTTGTGTCTTCAGGGAAACAAACAGAAAAATGGCAGCAAACAAAAGGTGAAATGAGGCTTCGGTCGCTTTCATCTTCTGTGCCGTTCGATCACCGCTGACATGAAACCATGAAGCCGATCGGCCCCTAAATGATGGGCGAGGATGACATCATTCAATAAGGGGACCCTGAAGGAGGTGAAGGAATGAATCGTGCGAGACCTCCTTATCGATTAATGATTAGTCTTCAGTCTCTGAAGGACCGGAGACCATCAGCTGATCAGCAGTCCATTGGCCTCCACGTTACCGTGACGACGCCGCCCTTCGTCTAATTGAACATGATGGACTCCGGGTCCTGGTTCATCATCTGGGCCATGTGGCGCAGGACGTCCTTCTTGGTGATGATGCCCAGGAGGCGCCTGAGCAGAAAGGGTCAGAGGTCAAGTCATGATTACGGTTTCGCATCACAACGCAACATCTCTAGAGTCCATCTGATGGTCCTACCCGCTCCTGGTGACCAGACACTGGCGGAGGCCCAGCTTGCGGAAGATGTCCACCACCGTCTCCATGGGGGTGTGGTCTGTGACGGTGAAGGGGCTGAGGTTCAGGATGCGGCGCAGCTTCAGCGGCTGCGGGTTGGTGGGCGGCAGCAGCGGCGCGTCCTCGGTGAAGTAGACCACCGAGCTGCTGACCACGCCGTCCTGCTTCTGGCGGGCGGTTTCTGTGGACACACGGGGGAGGGGGGGGGGGGGGGGGGGAAAACCTCACCCGGCCCCTGAAGGAGGACCCTGCAAAAGGGGACTTTCTGATTGCCAAGGGGAGGTCCCGGCCCTGCACGAAACCCATGAACCTCTCCGACTCTCTGGAAATTACCACCCGGAAACCCTTGTAATCCGTGTCTTTTATCAACGCCTCCAACTCCTCCACCCGGGTGGGATCCTGCGTGAGGAACGCCCAAAGGGGGGCCTTTCCGCGGGGGCCCCTCTCGTCGGTGGCGAGAGTGGGGGGGGTTGATTCCTCCCGGGACGTCCTCGGTCGGGGCACCATTGAACTGGATGTGTCACCCGTTCAGTCCCTTCTTCCGCGAGCGCTCTCCATCCGCATGGTGAGAAACGTGGAGATCCTACGCGAGACGGGAAGACCCAGGGAGAAGGGAGATCCGTCGCGTAGCCACACAGTACACACCCCGAAGTCCATCACAATCGGCGGGTAAAAGCTCATGACTTTCAGGACGGGACTGTCTAAGCAAAGGGGACGATCGCTTCTGAGGGCGCCGCGGCTCACCCAGGCAGGCGGCGGCGCCCACCATGGCGTAGAGGCCCGGCGTGACACAGTCGGCGCCGGGCCGGCACCAGTTCTTGAAGATGAGCCAGTCGTGGTGGTGGTACGCCATCTGCTCCACGGCGATGCCCACGATGCGTCCTGCGATGGCGCCGACCGCCATGCTGGGGATGAAGAGGCCTGACGGGATCTGGAGAGGAAACACAATCCGAGGCTTCCGTCTGAATCCCACAACCTCCTCCTCCTCCTCCTCCTCCTCCTCCTCCTCCTCCTCCTCCTCCTCCTCCTCCTCCTCCTCGTACTGACCTTCATGCCGAAGGTGAAGATGGTGATGACGATCTTGAAGACGAGCGCGAGGGCGAGCTGCCACAGGGCGTTGTAGACCCCGGGCCCCGCCGGGCGGTCCGGGATGTCGTCCACGGGCCGACTCATGTTGGGGTTGTTGACGTAATCGCACAGCTGAGACGACTCCAGCGCGCCGCAGTCGTTGAAGAGCTCCGAGATGAGCTCGCTGGTGCTGCGCCGCGTGTACGGGTTGGGGAACGCCAGCACGGCGGTGATGCCCGTGACGGCGATGACCTCCAGGACCGGGTACTTCCCCAGCAGGGTGGTCTTCCTGCGCCGGCACCAGGCGATGTTGGCCCGGATGAAGAGGGTCCCCCAGAGGCCCCCGAACACGCCCAGCAGGATGAAGGGCACCAGCTCGGCCATGTACCACGGCGTGTGGTACTCCACGTAGAACAGCACCAGGCGGCTGTTGCCGAACGGGTTGATGGCGCGCAGCGTGAAGGCGGCGACCAGCGCGGCGAAGAACGAGCGCCACAGAGTCTTCAGGGGGAAGTAGTAGCTGACCTGCAGGAGACACGGAGAGAGACGCTGCCGACCGGCTTCCCACCGCAAAGCACAGACCAACACGGGGACGTCAACGCACCTCCTCCAGGCTGAACAGAACTCCTCCGATCGGCGCGCCAAAGGCCACCGACACGCCGGCTGCTGCTGCGGCCGATAGCACCTGGGAGGGGTCAGAGGTCAGACACGCAGCATTCAGCACCTTCTCACAGGGGGGGACGTGACGATCAACTGGACGGAGGTCCACACCTCTCGCCGCTTGCCCTCGTTCTTGCTGTACTTGGAGAAGAGGCTGCAGAAGAGGTTTCCACAGCAGCACGCCACGTGGACCAGAGGGCCCTCCTTCCCCAGGCTGAGACCCGACGACACGGCCAGAACCAGGGTGACCGTCTTGATCAGCAGCGTCCATTTGCCCAAGTAGCCCCGGATGATGAAGCCGCTGAGGATCGTCTTGATCTGCAAAGCGGCACAAGTGTTGGGGGACCAGTCGGGACAGATTTGGAGACCCATCGGAGACCCGCGGGTCTCCTCGCCAGCGTCTCTCACCTCCGGGATACCCGAGCCGCAGGCGTACGGAGCGAACACCCGCACCAGGGACACGGCCAGGAAGGAGAAGAGCAGCGCCCACATGACGTAGAGCAAGTAGTTCAACACGTACGCTCCGGCGCCCTGCAGGACACAAACAAAGCCCTCACAACACGTCGCCCGTACGACTTTTTGGTGTTTCATCGGGGCGGCGGCCCGGCCTGACCTCGGCGTGGCCCGTCATCAGCTCGGCCCATTTCTGCCACTGAGGACACTTGTCCCGGTCGTCGAAGGTGGTCTCGTTGGACGTCCAGCAGCACTGCTCGTGGCTGTACCAGAAGGCCGTCAGACACACGCCTTCCTTCAGGTCCGTCATCCAGTCCACCGCCAGGTCGATGACCCCGGCCAGCGTGCCTGCAGGAGACGTCGTCCACAGAGCGATGAGAACGTAAGCCTTTGTGTTTTAAAGCACACGGCTCCCTGGAGACGAACCTGAGAGCAGTCCGATGAGCAGCATCACCACCCATCCCGACCAGGCGTCCAGCAGGCTCTTGATCAGCTCCCACAGGGACTCTTTGCTCTTACTGGTGATCTGAGAGAAGACATCGGAAAGTCACCGCGGGAACAGCAGCCGCCGCAGCCCACACGGCACAAAGAGGCGCGCTGGGCAAACCTTGCGGTGGCGGTCGGTGTCCCGGGACTTCTCCCTCAGCCAGTCGATGGTGTGGAAGTCTTCATACGTGCCCACGTCGGGAAAAGGCTCGTCCAGGAAATCCATCAGGTGTCCGGAGCCGTTCGGCTCCTCAGTGGGGGTGGAGGCGCTGACACCTGGCAGAGGGGCGGGAGGTCAAAGGGTGAGGAGGGGGGAGAGGGGGAGGAGGAGGGGGAGGAGGGCGCATCGTCTCCTCACTGTGAATCTACCCAACGATTCACCTGCCGGCCATATCTCACGATACCTGAATCACTGGTGTCTCGCCTGAGAACCAGTGAAACATCGAAGTTCAGTTCTTTAAATGTGTCTCTTCATTTACAGAAACTAATGATAAATGCAGCCATCGTTACTTTATCACGTTATAGATGACATGGATGCGCACGTGAGGGGAGCAGCATCTTTGGCTGCGGATCAATAATCACACGAAATGCTAGGCGTGTTAGCATCTACCGCTAACGGTGGCCGCCAGCGTTAGCATCCTGCCGCTAGCCGCGTTAGCTCCACCGTGGCGGTGTTTTTACCTTCACCCGCCTCCATGTTTCCCTCCGTGTGGCGCCCGCGGCTGCAAATCGCGTCTCTGGAATCGCTGCCGGACTTAATGTCGGCGACGGTTCACGTCGCAGCTCCGCCGGAGAGATAAACAGACGGCGTCACACGTCGCTTCCCACAATGCACCTGTTCACCGCCCTCTGACGCGGCGCCTCAAAGATCGTCTATTGTCGGATAGAAGGACGTCAAAGAACGCAGATCTCTATGGCTTATTGAAATGATGAAGAATGTACGAGGTGGACTGCTTATAGGAATGGAGTTGATATTATGAGCGACACATGAATCACATGACTATATTTTATGAAATCTTATTCTCTCGTGTCTCTTTTGTATCTAATAGTAATACATTAATTAGATTGCCCATTTTGAACATGACATCCTTGAACTAAACTAACTTTTTAAAAGTAAATTATAGGTTATCAGGTTAAAAGGCCCCAGAGGGGCGTCGCTGCTGCCTCCTGCTGGGCGCCAGAGGCGGTGCAGCTGCTTCCCGTAAACACCGGACCAAAGCTCTTACGTCTGCGTATCTACTGTTATAAACGAGCCTTTAGTTGTCTCCAGAAAACCTTTACACATTGTCCCACCGAGAGGCTCTTGTAGAACGGTGGAGATATTTATTCCTGCGTCGTCTTCACTGCTCCTCAGACTGAAAATACCGTCTGTGGCCTTGATGTGAACGAGAATGGATTCAGCAAACAACCTGAATCCATCAAACATTGAAGGAGGCGTTTCCCCCCACAAGCATTCGTTGTGTCAGTGACGAGATGGCGACGCGCCCGTACACGCAAGAGGAGCCCCTTTGTCCCAGATCCCGCCCACAGCCCGCGGGTAACACGTGGGGAGAGTCGGTCAGGGGGGCAAAGTCTTCCCTCAGCAACAGAGACCACACAGAGGCACAAGTTTTCCTGCTATTCCAGAGATGTCTGAGAAGAAAGCCGTGCTGTTCAACTTCTGGGGAGTGGTGGCCTCGTCCAGACCTCGTGCACTCCTGCAGGAGCTGGAGGAGCTGCACCAGCTGCCGGGGTGAGAGGCGACTAAGAGCTCGTAATACAGTCCTGGTACAAACGTCTTTGTGGCCTTCTAAAAATGTCCTCGGCTCCCAGAGGCTTCCTGTCCGAAGTGGCGTCCCGGATGGACGGCGCCATGAGCCGGGCGGAGAGGGGCCAGGTGACCTTTTCTCAGGTGGGTGACGTCGTGAATCACCTGCACTCACTGATGGTGGAGGAGTATTTTACGGCCTGCGTGTGTTTGCGCAGATGATCCCAGCCTTCGAGGCGGAGTGTGCGGAGGAGGCCGGGGTCAGAGGTGTGACGCTGCCCTCTGATTGGTCAGCTAGAGGCCTGCTGGAGGATCTCAGAGAGGCCATGATGGACGTCCAACCGGCCGTGATGAAGACAGCTGTCCGCCTGCGTCACAGTGGTACAAACGTGAACCAGTCAGCATTCTCTCTGGTGACCACCGGGGGGCGACTCCTCTGGTCCTACAGAAGTCTATGAGAACCTTCCTTCCCTCCACCAGGGTTACTGACGGCGGTCCTGGCCAATCACTGGCTGGATGACGTCGCCGCTGGAGGCGGTCCGGCCCGCCTCCTGTCTCTGCTCGGCGCCCACTTTGACCTGGTCCTCCAGTCCTGTCGCTCAGGCCACAGGGTCCCAGAGCCTGCCATGTTCCGCTCCGCGCTGCAGCAGCTGGGAGTGACGTCACAACAGGTGGACTTGTGGGCAACGCGTCTTAGCAGTAGCAAATGGCCGAAGTGACTCAGCTGGGTCGTCCCGTGGCTCTCCTTGCAGGCCCTGTGGATGGATGCGGACGAGGAAGGCGTGAAGGCCGCGGAGGGAGTCGGGATGACCGCCGTCTTGGTGGAAGACCTGGACGAGGCTTTGAAGAAACTGGCCAACTTCACCGGAGTTCAGGTGAGGAGCGCAACTCTTTGATCTCACGACAACACAACTTTGATGAGAGGGAATAGAAGTCATCCCGCGTGCTGGTGTGTTTCAGGCTGTTGGAGCAGAGACTCCGCCCCCCCCCTGCAGCCCTGATGACGTGGCACATGGATACGTCACCATCAGGGTAACGCACCACCGGAGACACAGCAGTGTGTCCAATGCAAAAGTACCAGAATGTTCTGCTGCCTCCGGATTTATCAAGCAGCTCTTAGCCAGTAGACCCAACAGGGTCAAAGGTCAAGGTGGCATAATACGAGGTAACGGTCGATACGTTGAACAGGAAGCTGCAGAATGCGCTGAAGTAATAACAAGAAGACGTAGGACATAAGGACATACATGCATGATAAAAGGATCAATACGTGAATGAAATCCAGTTAGGGAATAACGCCGAGTGTCTCTCCCTCAGCCCGGAGTGAGGACTCACTACGTGGAGATGGGCTCGGGTCCACCGGTGGTTCTGTGTCACGGCTTCCCTGAGAGCTGGTACTCCTGGAGGTACCAGGTAACACGCCTTCTCCGTACAATGTGCTCATTGTGTGTGACCCCTGACCCCTGACCCCTGGCTCCTGGCAGATCCCGGCCGTGGCTGCAGCAGGGTTCAGGGTGCTGGCTCTGGACATGAAGGGATACGGAGGCTCCACGGCGCCACCTGGTGAGCCTCCACCTGCATAAATGCATATGTGTAGGTACGTTCCTCGTTGATGGTGGCCTGTCCTCCTCCCGCAGACATCGAGGAGTATTCTCAGCAGCAGCTCTGCAAGGTGCAGCACTCACAAATATAAGTACACAAATATTTAATAAATTATAATAAATAATATAAGAAACTCACCGGTCAACCATCGGGTGACGTTGTACATCAGGTTATTAAAGTTGTACTTATATTAAACACTCACACAGTGTGTATTCTATCGCATGTGTTTATATATATATATATATAATGTAAATGTTTTCCTGCAGGATTTAATCATATTTCTGGATAAAATGGTGAGTATCCAACCCACTTATTAATGCATACAAAATAATGATTAGTACTACCTTATATACAGTAACGTATGAGCCAGTAGTACTTCTCTTACTTGTATTTGTACTCCATGTTGTGTGTTGTCTTACAGGCGATACCTCAGGTCACCCTGGTGGGTCACGACTGGGGCGGCGTCCTGGTGTGGACCATGGCTCAGTATTTCCCTGAGAGAGTCAGGTACACACAGTCAGTTTACACGTATACATGTGTGTGTATGTACATCAGTGTAGTGCAGCGTGTGTGTGTGTGTGTGTGTGTGTGTGTGTGTGTGTGTAGGGCTGCAGCCTCTCTGAACACTCCTCTGTTCCCCGCGGATCCGTCTGTGAGTCCTGCAGAGAAGCTGAAGGCGATTCCCATCTTTGACTACCAGCTGTACTTCCAGAAGCCCGTGAGTGTACTTCTACTGCCTTCTACTGCTCTGCACCTCAGAGGTACTTCTGCTGCACTGCACCTCAGAGGTACTTCTACTGCACTACACCTCAGAGGTACTTCTACTGCACTACACCTCAGAGGTACTTCTACTGCACTGCACCTCAGAGGTACTTCTACTGCACTGCACCTCAGAGGTACTTCTACTGCACTGCACCTCAGAGGTACTTCTACTGCAATACACCTCAGAGGTACTTCTACTGCAATACACCTCAGAGGTACTTCTACTGCACTGCACCTCAGAGGTACTTCTACTGCACTACACCTCAGAGGTACTTCTACTGCACTACACCTCAGAGGTACTTCTACTGCACTACACCTCAGAGGTACTTCTACTGCACTGCACCTCAGAGGTACTTCTACTGCACTGCACCTCAGAGGTACTTCTACTGCACTACACATCAGAGGTACTTCTACTGCACTACACATCAGAGGTACTTCTACTGCACTGCACCTCAGAGGTACTTCTACTGCACTACACCTCAGAGGTACTTGTGGAGGTACTTCTATTGCCTTCCACTGCACTGCACCTCAGAGGTACTTCTGCTGCACTGCACCTCAGAGGTACTTCTGCTGCACTACACCTCAGAGGTACTTCTACTGCACTACACCTCAGAGGTACTTGTGGAGGTACTTCTACTGCCTTCTACTGCACTAGACCTCAGAGGTACTTCTACTGCACTGCACCTCAGAGGTACTTCTACTGCACTACACCTCAGAGGTACTTCTACTGCACTACACCTCAGAGGTACTTCTACTGCACTACACCTCAGAGTACTTGGTAGTGGCTGTCTAGTGTCCTGCGCTTCAGAGGTACTTGTAGTACTTTGTGTCTCAGGGCGTAGCTGAGGCCGAGCTGGAGAAAGACCTGGAGAGGACCTTCATCATCATGTTTGTCAGCAGTGCTGAAGTGGTGAGGACACACACAGACGCACGCACACGCACACCCCGCAAGTAACATGCTAATCACACTAACCATCTGTCCCTTCAGGGCAGCGTCCCGCTCTCAGCACCGCGGGGGTCTGCGCCCGAGGTTGAAAGCTCCTCCACTGCACACTGAATGTGTGTCTCTATGTGTGTCCCTGTGTGTGAGTGTCTGTGTGTTGCAGGTGGTCTCTTTGTGGGTCTGCCGGAGCAGATTCCCCGCGGCTGCATGCTGACGGAGGCCGACCTGCGTTATTACGTCAGCCAGTACCGAGAGCGAGGCTTCAGGTCTCAAAAAATGATGGCACACACACACACACACACACACACACACACACACACACACACACACACAGCGATTGATAACCCACAACGTGAAGACAGCAGGACTTTAAGGAACATTCAGTCACACGGTGTCAATCTATTGATTATTGATCGCAGGCGCCCGCTGAACTGGTACCGCAACGGGGAGGAGAACTGGAGGTGGATGTGCTCCCGCCCCCCCGGAAAGGTTACATACACACACACACGCACACAGACACACACAGACCAACGAGGCGTTTAATATGTAGACACAGGGAAATATATGCAAATGGAAAATTAAATGGTGCATTTGTAAGGGAACTACTTTGCGTGGCGTATTAATCCGTGTGTGTGTGTGTGTGTGTGTGTGTGTGCGTGTTAGATGCTCATGCCGGCGCTGATGGTGACCGCGGGTAAAGACCAGGTGCTGCTGCCGGCCTTCTCCAAGGGGATGGAGGACCTGGTGAGGAAACAACGCACAACGACACAAGCGCCCCAGTGTGATGCATTGTGGGAAACCAATGAGTGGCGCCTGTGATCCTCAGATCCCGCACCTGAGCAGAGGACACATCGAGGACTGCGGGCACTGGACCCAGATGGAGAGGCCGGCGGAGACCAACGGCATCCTGATCTCGTGGCTCCAAGAGACGCTGAAGGGGGGCGGAGGCGTTTTCATGGCGCCCAAACTGTGAGGGAGGGGGGCACGCGGCATGATGACACCAAGGACATATTAAGTCTGTCAAAGTAAAAATAAATCAGAACAGAGTGACAAAAAGTGTGATTAATTATTATTATTCAGCGGTTTATCAAAGATCAACTTCTTATCCGACACCGTCTTTATGTACCGTACTGTGTAAGAAGCTACATGTATGTTATGTGTTGTTCATGCTGTGAGCGCCCGACCTCGCGGGGTGGGCTGAGGGGTCCCAGGGGAGAAGAGAGGCGGACGACAAGCAGGGTTACGGTGGAATTAACCACGGTTTATTATCAAATAATGCAAAGGGGAGAAGGGGGAGAAAACGATAACTCAAAAGTTCTTCACCGGGGTGGCCAGGACATCGCCGGGTTCCTCCTGGTGCAGAAGAGAGAGCGTATATTTAGTTAGACTCCTTTTGCTGTGCAACCGGATCGGCCTTCAGAGGATCCAGCTCCTCGTCTCCTCTCTCCTCAGAACAACGATGAGGAGCTTTCTTAAGCCCAGTTCATGCTTCTGCGTTTTCAGAGCGACGCAGACGCGAGCCCCCCATGCGTGTCCCTTTTGTGCCTTTTCACACCTCCTTGCGTGTGTTGAGACATTTTTCTAGGCTCGCAGCGCACAAGCCTCCCGCAGCGCACCAGGCTGCGATTGGTCTGCTAACTACGTCCTTTACGGAGTCTCACATTTCCGCTTTCATAGCCCGATGCCGCCATTATTAAAACGAAGAATGTTTACGAGAGAACGGATCAGATTTAAGAACTTTTGTCAGAAGAAATGCGTAAATATGAGCGCTTATACAAGCCGTCTTTGGCAGGTTGAATTTCTTCAGCTGCCTCAGGAAGAACAACCTCTGCTGAGCCTTCTTGGTGATGGAGCTGATGTTCAGCTCCCACTTGAGCCGCAGGGGGTTGTGAGGGTTTTCAGGTGGGACAGAACTAGCCGTTCAAAAGACTTCATGTCTACAGAGGTCAGGGTAGCGGGCCTGTAGTCATTAAGTCCTGTGATCCTGGGCTTCTTGGGAACAGGAATGATGGTGGAGGTCGGCTTGTAGTTTGTGAGGTGTTTAAGGCCTCTCCAAACCGAAGCAGAGTCACTTGCTGAGAACTGTTGTTGGAGTTTCTCCAGAGTACAGTCGTTTAGCATCTCTCGCCGCCTTGCTGAACCTGTATATTGACGTCTTTGTCCCTACTCCTAAATGCCTGATCCTTCTGCAGTCGTAGTTTTCTGAGTTCCGCTGTGAACCAGGGTTTGTTGTTGTTGTTATAACTCACCCTGGTGCATGCTGGTACACAGCTGTAGGAACAACTCTTCCTCTTTAAGATAAGACAGTGCCTCACCAGCAAGTGCCTTGTAGGTAAGGAGAAGTACCTTCAATTCTATTCTTGCATGCTGCATTCTGAATCAACTGGAGAGGCTTAAGAGATTAAAAGAGCAGCCTGATAACAAAGAATTACAGTAGTCCAGTCTAGAAGTGACAAACGCATGAACTCATTTTTCTGCATCACTTTGAGACAGGAAGTTCCTGATTTTCGATATATTCTGTAGATGAAAAAAGGCAGTCCTTGAAGTCTTCTTTATATGAGAGTTGAAGGTCATATCCTGGTCAAAGGGAACTCCAAGATTCTTGAAGGTGCTGCTGGGTACCAGAGACATTCCATCCATAAAAACTGTATCACGTGACAGCTGGCTTCGAAGGCGCTCTGGGCCTATCAGGATAACTTTTTCAGGACGTTGGAGTTCATCCAAGTTTTGATATGTCCAAGACATTTTTGAAGTCTAACTAGCTGGTCGGTCTCTTCTGGTTTGATCGACAGATACAGTTGTGTATCGTCTGCATAACAATGGAAGTTAATGCGGTGTTTCCTGATAAGATCGCCCAAAGGAAGCATATAGAGGGTAAATAGAATGGGTCCAAGTACAGAACCTTGTGGGACTCCTGACCAACTGTAGCCGACCAAAGTCTTGTTCATTCCCAACGGACCAAAATAAAGAAGGCGGGGCAAGGAAGGCTGAGAGATTGGACACACCTGCAGTTGAAAAAAACAATCAACTGACAGAGGCTGGATGGCAGAGGTGAGAGGAGTGAGAGACAAAGGGACAAACAAAACCTAGGAGATCACTGGTTGCTTGACCTCGGGTGTCCTACGAGACACACACAAAAAGACCTGCTCGACCCCAGAGGAAGGGAACCGGCTGGAGAGACCTTTTGGACCTCCCTGGACTCCGGCGAGCCGTTGTCGATCAGGACAGATAAGTCCCCGCAGAAACACCTCTCCTGACTTCTCCGGATGATCCGACTCACAATCAGCAGCCCACACGCCACCCAACACACACCGACCACGCAGTCTGCTTTAACACAAAAGTGACATCATTGGGACTCCGTAGCTGAAACATCAACGGACTTTCCACGTGATTATTTGTTGTGCTTAAACATGTGTTTAAATTGAACTGCGGTGCATTTATGTTTTGATTATATGCTTTACGTTTGAATACACGTTTCCCATGAGTCGATGGGCTTCCTGGTTTGTCTTTGATGTAGTGTTTGATTTAATTTACATTTTTGCAGAGGGGGTACCCAGCTGGTCGGGTACATTATTGCGCTTTGTTCGGAGGATAACTTGGATAACTAAATATGACAGGGAATAACCTGGGTTATTTGTCTGTCTGGCGACCAACGTATCATTCGGATTAAAGACACACCCCTACGCTACACAACATTGGTCTTCGAGGATTCACTGCTTACAAGCACAAACTGGGATCGATCTGATAAACAGGGTTTAAACCAGCTGAGTGCAGTTCCTTTGATATCAATCAAATGTTCTAGTCTCTGCAGGATACAATGATCTATGGTGTCAAATGAGGCACTGAGGTCCAGCAAGACAAGAACAGAGATGAGTCCTTGGTCCAATGCCAATAGAAGAATTCGTAATTTTTCACCAGTGCTGTTTCTGTACTGTGATGCACTCCGATCCTGACTGGAAATCCTCCAACAAAGCATTGTTTTGTAGAAAGTCACATAAATGATTTGCGACGGATTTCTCAAGGATCTTAGAGAGGAAGGGAAGATTAGAGATAGTCTGTAGTTAGCCAACACCTCTGGAGCAAGAGTAGGTTTCTTAAGAAGAGGTTTAATTACAGCTACCTTGAAGGACTGTGGTACATGTCCTGTCAAGAAAGACAGATTCATAATATCTAATAAGGATGTGCTAACTAAAGGAAAAACTTCCTTAAGCAGCTTGGTCAGAATCGGATCCAAGAGACAAGTAGACGATTTAGACTTGTCCATTTTAAGAACCAAACTCTGAACTATGAAGATTCAGATAGAAATTCTGAATAAGGTTCTGGGGCCCTGTATACTCTTATAAATTATTTTCCAGGTCGGTTGACTCAAAGACTGAAAACCAGGCTTTCAAATGAGTTATAATCCACCTTAGGTTTAAAGTTTATTAAAAGGCAGGAGTCATAAATAGCTGCCACCCCCCCCCTCGGCCTGTGCCTCGGGGAATATGAGTATTAACATGACTCGGAGGAGTCGCTTCATTTAAACAGAAATATTCCCCATTCAACAACCACGTTTCAGTAAGACAAAATACATCAACATGGTGATCTGATATTAGTTCATTTATTAAAACGGCTTTAGATGAAAAGATCAAAAGTCCCCCTTTAATTCTCCTATTTTGTTGCACTATTGCATTATTAGTTTTAACTTGAAGTTATTTACTACAACTCCTGGGTTGTTTACCTTTAACTTAGATAAGTGTGTCCGTGGGGCAGACGAGGTCTCTATAGGGTTCATTATGCTGAGTGACTGCGACTCTGCTCCCTGGTCTGAACTCTGGCTCATAGATCAAGTACACTAAGAAACTGGGTCAGGTTCTTAGAAAGAAGTTCAGCTCCGTCCAAAGTGGGATGGATGCCGTCCCTCCTAATCAGACCAGGCTCTCCCCAAAACGTCTTCCAGTGATCAACGAAGCCCACATTATTTACTGGGCACCACCTCGACAACCAGCGGCGGAATGACGACATGCGGCTGTACATGTCGTCACTGGCCAGAGAAAACTACGGTGTCCGACATTGTTTTAGCGTGTGTACACACCGATTCCACATTAACTTTAGTGACCTCCGAGCAGCGTAATCGGGAGTCATTACCGCCGACGTGTATTACAATCTTACTGTATTTACGTTTATCCTTAGCCAGCAGTTTGAGATAAGACTCAATGTCGCCCTGGTCCCCGGTTCACACGTAACTATGGTCCCTGGTTTCTCTTCACGTTCCTCAGAGTGGAGCTACCGATCACCACAGCTTCTCAGTGTGTGGCCGAGTGGGGAGAAGCGGTTTGAAACGTGAAGTGGTTGGTGGTTAACTGTGTGCTTCCACTTGGACTTCTGATTACTCAGTCACGCAGCCTCCCGGCCGCTCGGGGTTCCCTCACGTATTTACATGGATAACTTTGGATTTAGAGGCCTCAGAGTTTAAAAATAAAAGATGAAATAACCATTGACACTCATGTTGGTTTTCTCCCTTTATTATATTTTTGGTATTTTCTTTTGCTCATAGTAATAACATAATAGTACAACAGCATGTCCTTGTGTAATAACAGTTTACAGTTCTTTGCTTCCACTTGTACTTTTCTCATCTCATGTCACTAAAACACAGACTCTGTTGCTGCTTCCACCAGGTATCATTCAGACTGTGCACGTTTAAAGAAGTGATTCAATATATATTTAAAGTACCAGACCCTTAAAACCCTCTTTGATTAGTTTTTCATTATATTTTCTATCATTTATTTCACTAGAGATTCTGATAAATCTCATAATAATTAGCAAGAATCATTGGATATATAAAGAAGTAATAAATGCTTCATCCCAGGTGACCAAATGAAGACCTGCCAGCATTGTTTCACAGCAGCAACATCTTCAAACATCTGTTGAAGAGCCGTGAGGTTCGAGGCTGGTTGTTGGAGCTTCAATGAGGAATCAGCTGAGAAGACAAGCGGACGTCACTGATGAGTCATGACTTCTACTTTGTCTCTGATGAAGGGCAACTATGAAATACCTAAGAGTCAGATGACATTCCTGCTCCTGAGAGGATGAACCCTCTGACCTTTACACTGGTGCGTGTAGCAATTCATGTTTTCAATCCAAATGAACGTCATACATACCAGGTCAAAGGTCAGAAGGGCAGCGGTCTTTAATTACTCCAGGCCATAGTGATGAGGGCTGGGTTTCCCTCTGCAGTCTTGGACCTGGAGGATCTGCGCCTCCTCTTACTGCTTCCAGGGCAGGTCTGTGGGACAGGCAGCGTGTTCAGGGTTAGACTGCAGCCCGTGTGGGCTCCACGGAGGTCCACACTACAGAAGCCCTTTGTCTGCTCATGTTGTTAGTAGACATTTGTTCAGGAGGGAGAGACTGTGAGCAGGTTCAATTATGCCAAACGTGATGTGAAGAACTCAGCTCAGCCGACTATAACAGAGCTGCTGACATATTAATGCATGAGTGATAACTCTCCTTCACCAGGAGAGGAACCACACAGGAGCATCACTAGTTGGTGAAGCAGCCTCTTCTCTGCTCCTGCTTACCGGAGCACAGCTTTTGCCCTCTTTGGGGCACAGCTCCACTTTGCAGTGCAGGTAGATTGCAGATGTTTCTCCAGAGAACTGGAACACGTTGAAAGAGAAGACGTTGGAGGTTCCCAGTCCGTTTCCCTCCACCATCACCGTCTGGTCGGCCTTGTTGGGGCATCTGCTCAGAAACAGGAAATCAGGTGAGTTCACCTGCTGCGGATCCTTGAAGCCGCAGACAAAGAGTTCTTTCTCACCCGGCGATGACGAGGTCGTATCGCGGGCTGCTGTCGGTGGACGGCTGGGTGGTGGCCCAGCAGGAGTCGGTCACTATGGCGACCAGGTCGCCGTCCAGCCCCTCCGTCTTCAGCTGCAGCCACACCTTCTGGTTCAGCTGGATCTCGGTGCTCGACTCCACGCGGTTCTGGAGTCCGCCGTCGGTGTAGGCGGCCATCGTCAGAGTGTAGTTCCAAGCTCCGGATACGATCTGCAGTACCACAGAGCTGCAGAGCGTACGCACACGCACACACACACACACACAAACTTCAGCTTCCTCAAACAACAACAGGCTGCAGGCTGACGAGCAGGTGGAGCTCAGCCGTCCTCCACTCACCTGTCTTTGATCCTGAAGGACAGGCTCTGGACGTCTGGCTTTGCGAAGAAGCAGGAGAAGTCGATCTGGACTTGGTCTTGGCGGGTGATGACGCCGTTCTGAGAGCCGTTCCCCGTCGTGATGGTGTTCTTGTAGAGGATTTGGCTGTTGTTCATCTATGTTGAGACGGGAACACGAGGCACCGTCACCTCAGAGGGAGTAACTTGTTCACCTGTTTGTGTGCTGGTTGTGTAAACACAGTCTGCCACACATTCATGGCAACAACACACTTGGTGAAGGAGACCAACTAGAGGAGGGCAACCAACTAGAGGAGGGCACCCACCGAAACCTCCGCCCCACAGGTGTCGCTGCTGTCGAAGCTGAACTCCACCATGTGGGTGCGTTGGTCCACGTGACCTTTGCAGTCGGGGTCAATGAGGTGGAGGGCGGAGGAGTCGATGCCTCGGTCCTGCAGCAGACATCCGGCCAGAGTCACAGTGGCAGAGTTCTGCGTGCAGACTGTCGGCTCGCCTGAAAGCCCAACAGCACAATCCCGTAAAGTACCAACACCTCAGTGGGGAGGGGTCAGCAGTGGAGGAGTTGGACTAATAAGAGCTAGTTTTATCTATCACAGAGGTAGAGACACGTCCACTTTAAATCCTCCACTTGCTGCAGCGTGTGATGTTTGACTGTACCTAAAGCGTTGGTCGGGTTGAACTTGGAGGCAAACAAGGCCCGACAGAAGCAGCTGGCTTCACCGAGGCGCTCTCCACAGAACTCGTGCTCACTGCAGTACTGGTCCAGACAGGAGGGCCGAGGGACAGCAGCTACACAGACACATGGACACATGAGCTCAGATCAGACCAAACAGCAGCAAATAACATCCTCCAAGATGTAGTCTCCACAAATACTCCACTGGTCCTGGAACAGTTCTACATTTTCAGGTACCTTCGTAAAGCTGCTTTCATGTACTCGCCTCACTTCCACTTTTATTCCGCAGTATTTATTTAGAAAGACTGTTACTTCTCAGACAGAGATGATACACAAGTTAGCAATACTACTGATCAAATAGATCTAAATGTAAAGAATACTTTACATATACATTAGTTGTACTTGAGGTATCTTTGAGTACTCATCTACAGAAGTACCATTTCATTATTATTGTTATTAAAAGGAAGAAGCCTCAAACGTGTAACTGAAGGAGCTAAACCTCCACCAAGCAGCAGAAAGTGGAGGAGCATCTTACGGCATTGGACCGTTGACCTCCAGTCGCCCAGTGGGATGTCTCTCAGGCTGCAGGACTCGGCGTAGGCCTCCAGAAACTGGCAGTCGAGACCGTCCACCGCCGGGTAGTTGCACAAAGTGTTGTTGCAGGCGGCCACGTAGGAGTCCGTGTCCACGTGTTGGTGACAAGCATCGAAGGGGGGCTGATTCAGGAGCTCACAGCTGATCCAGCCATGCAGAGAGGAGGAACCAGAGGACAGTCCCATGAAACCCTCCCTGGTCACATGACAGCGTGGTGGCACATAGAAAGGTACCATGCAGAGGACTCCATGCTGTCTGAAGGGGGGTCTGCTGGTTAGAAGGGTCACTTCTTACCGGTCAGCCGAGCGGCTGCAGGTGATGGAACTGTCGGTGGTGTCGGTGTGTAGAGTGTCGCAGCTAGGGGGGGACAAGCAGCCCGTCACACGAGATCCAGACACCACATCAGCCAATAAGAAGGACCATCAGTCAGCGCATCAAGTTAAGACTGTACGTACCCAGCCGAGGAGATCCGTTCAGCATCCAAGGTGGTGGTCCAGCTTTCATTAGTAGGGTTACCACACAAACCCTCTAAGGAGACCTTTGGTCCTGTTTGATATCAGGAGACAATTGGAGGCAAACCAATGACCTTTGACTCTAACAAGCACAGATTTATTCTGACACTGGGTCCAGATTGAGGGTCCTGTACCTGACACGTGTGCCGTGTTGCCATCAAACACGACCGTCATCTTGGAGGAGGGCAGCTTGGCGGTCACTCCAGTCTGGTCCTTGGAGAGCTCCACGCCGTGGACCAGCTGAGCCGTGGTGTTGAGATCCAGGATCTGGTCACCGACCTACATCCCAGCAGAGAGGAAGCATGAAGGAACCACCGGCTTAAAGGTCCCATCTAATATTCTCTCTGCATATGAGGGGCTGAAGTCAGGACCACGTGACAGCTTTCATAACCTGTTACTTCAGATGGAGATTATGGGATCCAATTAAACATGATGAGTTACTATGGATCCAGTGAGAAGAAGTCAGTGTCTGACCCCTTAAAGCTGTGAAATACATCACAAAGTACCTCCTGGCTCATAATGACCTTCAGAGATGAATCAAACCCCCCATGAACACACGGTGTTCAGATGGATGGTAGCAGCTCACCCGGACTCTTCCACCTTGTTCCAGGTGAATGTCTCCAGCTGTCTGACTTATGGTCAAATAGTCCAAGAAGGACACATCTGTACGGCGTCGCTCACGGAACCCCCCGATGAGTTGCACACCAGGTCCTCCTTGAGGCTTCATCAGAGCGTATTCACAGCGATCCTCCACCGAGTGGACCTCGCCGTGGAAATTGATGAGGGTGGAACCAGTCACAGTGCACACAGAGGGGGGGGGGGGTTTACACCTGATGGAGATGCAGAGACACAGGTTGAACCGTCAAAGACACGGAGACATTTAACCAGGACGTCTTCATCTCCTCCACAAGTCTGAGAGGCTTCAGGTGTCTTTCAGTCCACGTGGAGCACTTCATTTAAATCAGTCAAACCTTCATTCACACTTCATACAAATATAAAAAGAACATATTTACGTGTTGTTGCCGAGGCAAACGTCTCCGGGTTCACATGAACTGAGGACTGCAGACGTACTACAGAGTAAAGTGGAACAGTTCTCTGGGTCCGATATCTTCTCACCGTATCGTAAAGGGACACCTGGGAGGGGACAGGAGGTTTGAGAAGGAGTTTGATACGAGCTTTAAGAGACAGAAATAACTGACATGTTAAGAGATCACATTTATCAGAGGAGCCCTGAAGAGCCCCCCTCCCTTTATATGGAGACCTGATTGGCTCACCTGAGTGCCTGCAGGAGCTCACATCAAAGTACGATGATCTGTCTCTAGTAGTCCATGAATCCACAGTCAGGGTCCCGACCTTCGCAGTCAGCAACTAGAAGGACATGTGACACATCAAGGTTAAACTGTGGGACTGAGGGACCAGTCTAGAACATGGATCTCCTTCCTGACGTTCATCTTCAACTTCAGGACATTTCAGTGGAGACCTCAGCATCACATGACCAGACGTCAACCTTTGACCCCCCACTAGAACTACTAAAGATCTTCATTCTAATAAGCTGTGCTCATAGTGACCCAGTTCGTCCCTCTAATGAATTACTAATCGATTCAAGAAGAAAGAAAATACGTTTTAACAATTCACAAGTAGCTAGAAGACGTTTCAGTGAAACACAAGCGAATACCTTAATACGTTTCAGTAAAACACATCAGAACATTCACAAGTTTGTACAAACTGAGTAGATTTCTGACAGCCTTCGTTTGAAGAGGAAAAGAATCAAATGTTTGAACTCCAGATGGTGAGAAGAGTCTTTGAGGACTCTTCAGACTCAATGGAACTAAAACGTGAACGAACCGCCGGATCGACTCTTCTGGCTGAAGATCAGCTTCAGCTTCCCCTGCTAGGGACCATTGGTTTGAGGTCAGATGTTGCCGTGGTGACAAAGGTACAGCTGGTAGATACTTACAAGATCTGAGTCAAGTGCAGTCTGAAGAAATACTAACAAAGCTGTTTGTGGTCCAAAGCTGAGGAAAGCTAACTCAACCTGAACAAAGAGAAGAAACAGAATATGAGCAAACATCTCCAAAACCATTCAGAACAAAACTATGGTTTGAAGTTCTCTTCATCAAACGAAGTATGAAAATGTTCAACATTAGAAAATACCATCAGAGTACAAACATGAAACGGATGATGACTCACCTTTGGCTCGGAATTGCTTATGAATTGAAAATACAAAAAGCAACTTGATGTTCCCTTTATGTTCGGCAGATCAAAATTAGATGCTGATTGCATACTGGGAAAACCCCCCACTTCCACCTCGTCTGATCCCGACGTTTGATTCAGCGTCAAACAGTCTTGAGGTGGATCGTTGGCGCCGTCCATGAAACAAATTACCAAAGAATCCTTCAACCTCACCTGAAGACACAGAGACAGGTTCATCTGTTAATAAGTCAAAGCATCATTACCAGAGCTGCCAACTCTCACGCTTTCACCGTGTGACACACACTGTTTTCACACGCACTCACGCCACACGCCAACTACAAAATTGAGTAGTACTTTTGTCCGAGCCGCGTTCCTCTGCAACGTCCCCGTCGGCCGTATTGTCTGCGATCTATTATTATTATTAATAATTTAATATAATAATCACACAACAGACTTGTTTTATTACAAATAAACATCTGATCCCTTAGAAAACAACTGCACACCCTCATCAGGGTCACAGGCGTGATGACGAGAGGTGACATGTGACATGTGTCATGTGACAAGTGTCACAGTGTAATAACTGAATGTTGTTGTAGGTAAAGGAATGTCTGTCAGATAACAGCAGTAAGAGGCTTTAGTTTTACTCACGTCCATCCATGAGAATGAGCGTCCATAGAAGGTGATGGGACACGAGCTGATGTCCACCACTCCACCAGAAATATCAATTGTTACTCGTTGAGATATGGAGACGTCCACCTGGCTGGCAGCAACTACAGCGGGAATGTGAAAGAACATCACATGTGAATTAATACGCTTCTCTCCTCACTCACTTCAGTCTGCAAAGATCAGTTTACTCTGAAATGGACTTCAAGTCGTTAAGATAAAGGTTGTAAAGTCCACTTCCAACGGCTGCTCACCTGCCAGCAGGAGGAGCAGAGCACCTGTCTTCATGGTGGAGAAGAGGCAGGAACAGGTGGAGAGACTCTTCATGTAGAGACAGGAGAAACACTCTTTAGTCCCTCCATGCACACAGTGTGAGGGACAGTGTGGAGGATCCTGCTTCTCAAAAGGCTCCTTGTTGTCTCTAAAGCCACCACATGGAGCCTGAGTGGACTCCTTAGAGGGAAGCTCCTTCACCGAGTTAGTACGAGTACAAAAGGCTCCATGTGAGCTGTTAGATGAGGCCCAGGACGGGATGAGGAAACACAAAGTATTACTGGTGCTGAAGGGTTCCTTCTATTTGGAGAGGAACACTCAAAGCTTCTGAGATCACACTGACTGGAGTTTACTCCACACGGGTGGAGCTAAACCACGGAACATTTGGTGCAGAATCAAGGAATTAAAAGATCCTAAATAATAACAGCGATGAGCATTTGGTCGATATGAAGTCGGGCAGAGAGGAAGAGGATGCAGCTGCTCTTACCTTGTGGAGGTCGGGTGGAGCAGCAGGGAGACGGAGCTCTGAAGATGGAGATCAGTGAAGTCTCTCAGGAAGATGTGCCTGCTGCGTCTCCGTCCTTTATACTGCTGCTTCTCTTCACGCCCAGAAGACCGATGTAACTTTGACATCAGAGCAGAGACGTGGGGTTTCGGAGGTAAACCTGGATTCTATAGAACTGGTTCCTCAGCATTCTGTCCTGGTGGCTTTGGACCTGAGAGCCTCAGGTGCTTCATAACAAACGACCTGTCACAATGTTCCAGAAAACCCACATGAAGAGCACGCAAGGAGAAAAGCACATAGGTGAATGTGTGGTGATCAGGGTGTGTCGGTGTGATTGATCACGCCCAGAAGACTGATGTAACTTTGACATCAGAGCAGAGACGTGGGGTTTCGGAGGTAAACCTGGATTCTATAGAACTGGTCCCTCAGCATTCTGTACTGGTGGCTTTGGACCTGAGAGCCTCAGGTGCTTCATAACAGGTCTGTGACAAATGACCTGTCAGACTCTCTCATAACGCTTAAATGGAAAGGACGTGTTGTTATTCTCAAGGAGGAACTAATTCAGGTGAAATGATTAAATGTGTAGTGGTCAGAGTGTCGGTGTGATTCAGGAATCAGGAAACATTTATTACCAAAATATGTCAAACATACAATGAATTTGTCTTGGCGGTTGGTGCGCGACAGTAGACAGACAAGACAACAGTGCACAAGTAATAAAATAAAGTAAATTGAAATGCTAATGCAATGGGTTAGTAGAATAAGGCTATGAGTTAGTAGAATAAGGCTATTGGTTAGTAGAATAAGGCAATGGGTTAGTAGAATAAGGCTATGGGTTAGTAGAATAAGGCTATGAGTTAGTATAAAACAAGGCAATACAGTAAAAAAAATGTAAATATTAAAAAAGTTACAAAAGAAAAAAAAAATCTCTATATATTAAGCATAAAGTGCACTAACGAACAAGTAACAAAGTGCCGAGTGACGACAAAGTGATGAATTGCAGTTAAAGTGACATGTGCAGTGTGAAGGGGAGTGACCGGTGGGATGTTATAGTCAGTCAGTGGGGGACCGGCTCTGTTGATGAGAAGAAACTGTTGGTGTGGCGGGAGGTCTTAGTCCTGATGGACCTCAGCCTCCTGCCAGATGGAAGGGGCACAAACAGGTTTTGTCCGGGGTGAGAGGGGTCGGCTACCATCTTTTTAGCTGCTTCAGAGACCTGGAAGCGAACAAGTCCTGCAGGGACATTCATCTTCTTTGGCATCATCAGTCTGTCAATCAATCCTCCTCCACCAGATTCTTTCACACTGAGCTGCCTCTTTTCCTTTCAGGTGCTGTTAAGCAACGTGGTTAAAAGATTCCTTCCATTCTGTGCTACTGGAATGCTGAAGCAGCATTTCAACATATTTCCTCAAAGTTCACCTGATGATCACGTCCTCCTCCACTTGAATTCCCCTCATGATGAGCTGCTTCAATTATCCTGTCAACACGTCATTCCAACTCAAAGGGTTTGGAGCTCAAAGTGTCAGATGATCCCAGACTCGTTGTTCTCAGACTGTCAAACAGGTTCTGCTTCAACACACAGAGGCCTTCATGTACAAATATACTTTTGAAAAGCATAAACTTGTATTTAAAAGCAGTGGGAGGATTCATAAAGACCCTCACCACAGCCTGGCCTCCTCCACCTGCTCCACCTCTCGTGACTGTGGGGCCTTCTGGAGAAGAGGATGTCTTGATCATCAGAATTTTATTTATTGTCTTTAAATACACATTAACATGAATCCAACATGTTGTAGCAACGGATACATTGATGGAGGAGACGTTGTCTTTCAGTCCCACAGCAGCTGTCAAGCTGGACACCGGTTCCCTCACAGCTCCTCTCATGCTGATACGACGTCACAGGCACCAGCCAATCAGATCCATTCATGCCGATACGACGTCACAGGCACCAGCCAATCAGATCCATTCATGCCAATACGACGTCACAGGCACCAGCCAATCAGATCCATTCATGCCGATACGACGTCACAGGCACCAGCCAATCAGATCCATTCATGCCGATACGACGTCACAGGCACCAGCCAATCAGATCCATTCATGCTGATACGACGTCACAGGCACCAGCCAATCAGATCCATCCATGCCGATACGACGTCACAGGCACCAGCCAATCAGATCCATTCATGCCGATACGACGTCACAGGCACCAGCCAATCAGATCCATTCATGCCGATACGACGTCACAGGCACCAGCCAATCAGATCCATTCATGCCGATACGACGTCACAGGCACCAGCCAATCAGATCCATTCATGCTCACGTCTCAAGAGCGCAGAGCTCCAAGATAAAAGATGCCGTAGAATACGGGGTCCCTCCATCTCGCCATCCGTTTGGGGTCCTTGGCCTGAAAAACATTGAAGACCCCTGATTTAATACATTAAAAACAGAACATTATCTCCAATGTGAGAAAGGACCGTGAGACCTCATTGTTTGTCATCCTCATCATCATTGACACATTATTTACCTTTTGAACCAAAAGCATAAGTCGGAAACAGAAACACAAGTAAAGTTCTTTACTCGTTTTCAGGCAGGGTCAAAGCGGGAGATCAGTTCAACGGGCGAACAAATCCAAAAAGGGGGCACGTAAGACCCCCAGGTGGAGTAGTCAGTCAAACAGGGTCGGAACAGGCCGATCAGGAGCAATCACAGGAACCGCTGGAGCTCAAGACTCACAAGACCATCTAGCAGAGGACGAGTGAGGGGACCTCAGAGTGAGGGACGAATGAGGGACTAATGAGGGAATGGGCTGCAGGTGAGAAGGACCTGAGGACCAGGTGAAGGGAATGACAGATGATCTGGAATGACAGGAGGGTGACAACGTTGTGACAGCTGGAGAAGTAATCCTCTATTTGAAGCGCCTCTGTGTGTAGAAACAGTTTTATTTCTCAGGTTTTTGTCTGATCGTTTAATTCCATACACCCATTTATTTTGTCTACTTGTTCAACCTCCTTCTTTCAAGAACATCCTGTTTCTCAGGAACAAAATGCTCACGTTGGTTTCTCTTTGCGTCGCTGGAATTCTCCTGTGAGTGTTTATGAGGAGGCTTCATGAGCCGCCGCTGACTCACACAGCCAGAAACTACAGAGGACACAACATGACATGAGTATAAATAAATAGAAGAATGAATAAATACACAAATAAATAAATAAAAGAATAAACAGCAGTTGTTTAGCTCAACACAAAGTATGCCTTTAATTTTTTGCAGCGCCAAGAACAGTTCATGTGGGGGGTGTTGTGCAAGTGTAGACTAAGTAACTCTTCATTATTTATTATTCGTGCTGTGCGTCTGATCACATTCCTGTAAAGTGTTGGATTCAGTTAGCCAACAACGTCCTTCTCTTTACTGATTCCGAGGTTTCAGGACCGCTTGAAGTTCAAGCGTCGGGTGCCGCTGCGCCTCGTGTTCATGGAGGCTCCTCGCGTGCAGCCAAGCAATGAGCCACGTCTGCAGTGCCAAGGACAGAACTGCTAATTTATTTTTCTCTGATAATGAGATGTATTTAAAACCCTTTTTATAACACCGTGTACTCTAATTTTTTTATATATATATATATATATATGTTTACTCTAAATGTTTTTGACTTTTACGGAAATATTTTTAATATACTTATAATAATTAATTTTTGATTATTTTTTAACAACCTCATACGATGAATAAATATCATCTGTTGTTTCTAAATCAAATGTTTTAATACATCATTTTTACAACACAATCATATATTGTTATACTTATTTAAGAGACAGCATGTGACTTTTTTAAGATTTACTAATTACTAATATTTCAACACTTTTTTATGAAACATTGTATGATTCTTTTTATGATTTTGTTACCACAGACTAACAATTAACTACATTTTTATCATAATATACTATAATATGTTACTTTTGACATATTACAGTATAACTTCAAGAAAATACTACTACTTATGTTTTTGGATTACTTTTCAAAGACGTATTATACTTAAGCTATCTGTGGGAAAAAGAATGTATATTTTTTCCCATTTGATTACTCTTTAACGGTATACCAGACCAGGGTTTGTTTCTTGAGGCTTTTCAGGAGTTTTTTTTACAACATACTGTACTATATAATTCAGGAATCAGGAATCAGGAAACATTTATTGCCAAACATACAAGGAATTTGTCTTGGCGGTTGGTGCGCGACAGTAAACAGTAACAATAGACAACAACAATAGACAAAGTGACGAGTGACGACAAAGTCACTCCGTAAAAGACTAAATTATATAAAACTTATTTCAGACATGCTGTTAAATTACTTTGTATAACAAACTATAGCATGATATTTTTTAACTTGGTCATGACATAATAAACCATGACTGTTTTACATCCTACATCCTACACAACCTTTTTTCCCTAAACCATATTATGTTTTTTATACATCACTATATTTTTGATTTCCTTATTGCATACTATACTGACCTAGATTTTCATATTATACTATTTCAATATTATACTATGACCGATGATTTTATTACATATTTTACTATAATTTTAAAGTTTTTACTAATACTCTTACTAATACAAAAGAATTATTATTATTACATGTTTGCACCTGCCTTCCTGCAGGTGCAAACCAGAGTTCACTGTGTGCATGTGTTGTTTTCCCATGATGCAGTTCAGATCTCCTCGTTCAACCACAAAAATACGTCATCCCCGGACAGCAGCATTGATCCGTGTGATAGATGGAGGAACAAAGAACTGCATCTCTTTAAGCATGGATAGAAAACGCCAACTCCAAATTAGGGAAAAACATGTATTGTTTGATTTAGGATATATTGTGTTCATGATATCTGATAAGGATGTGCTAACTAAAGGAAAAACTTCCTTAAGCAGCTTAGTCGGAATCGGTTCCAAGACACAAGTAGAAGATTTAGACTTTGAAAATAAAGAAGTCAGTTGATCAAGGTTGATGGAAGAGAAGGCATCCAAACACGCATCAGGGCCCACTGCTGCATCCAAGGTTCCTACATCGGAGGACAGGTCGCCACTGGTTGAAGGCAGGAGACCATCAATTTTCTCTTTGATAGTCAGAATCTTATCATTGAAGAAGTACATGAAGTCGTTACTAGTGAGGTCCAAAGGAATACACGGCTCAGTACAGTACTCAGTACAGAGCTGTGACTCTTTGTCAGTCTGGCTACAGTGCTGAAGAGAAACCTG